TACCCCCGGTTTCTTTAGTAGTAAAATACCCGGGGGGGGGGGGAGGGAATGGTCCAGTCCGGGAGTTGTAGAAAGCTGAAAGCGCTAGCAAACAGCGCGTTAAAAATCATCACGTGCAGGTGGAGTTCCCAGAATGCTAGTCGCGGAGCTAGGGAGTCCATCTCTCACGCCGGGAAGTGGAGGCAACTTGGGAAGGCCCCAGACCACAATCCGTCCTCCGACGCAGAGGGAGAAAGCGGGATCCAGAGGGCTTGGATTAGAAATATCCGGCCTGGCTGGTATGGTTATCGCAATTCCTGCCGTGACCTGGGAAATTTCCACCGGGCTTGGCCGCCGGAGCCACGGGGCATCTAGGAATTGTGGGCCGCTCCAGACAGGTTTGCAAAGCTTTCCTGCGGAGAACGGCTTTGCGGCGTCTTCCACAGTCCAAGACAGCACCTTCCCAAGAAGCGCGGGGAGCACCGGGTGTATCCGGGCTCCTGCTGCCCGGCTTCTCACAGAGCAGGGCTGTCAGAGGTGGGGCTGTCCGGGGCGGGACTTCCAGCCAGGCTGCTGGCAACCGAGTCACTGGGGGATGCGACGTGGCTGTTGGGCCGCCGGACCATGCCCGGCTGGAAGGCTGGATGGCGCCGGGCGTGCTTGGTCAGGTGGTCGCTGCGCATGAAACGCTTCTCACAGAGCGGGCAGGCGAAGCGCTTCTCCCCGGTGTGGGTGCGGAAGTGACGGGCCAGCTCGTCGGAGCGGGCAAACCTCTTCTGGCAGCCAGGCCAACTGCAGGGGAAAGGCCGCTCGCCTGCAGAAGGGAGAGAATGGTCACAGTTTACAGCAGCAGAACCTTCATAAAGTTGTGAGCGAGCAATTTGGCGGCTGCATAAATTAGTTTGCTCTGGAGCAATGCTCCCTCTAAGCTGTGGAGACTTGTGAGCAAAAATTCCGCTTTGCGAGCTACTGGCATTAAAGTTGTGAGCGAGCGATTGGGCGGCTGCATAAATTAGTTTGCTGTGGAGCCCTCCTTCCTGAGCCAAGACAATAATGTGTCAGCCGGAGGCTAAAAAACTGTGAGCTAGCCCACACTAGCTCAGCTTAGAGGGAACACATGCCCAGGGACGAACCACCAGTTGGGAAGGATGTGTCCAGGATTCAAGGATTAGACCCTATGACTTCTCAGCAAATCCCCAAGCTCTGTGCCAGCAAAAGTCAATGGGACTAGATTCTTAATGGCTCCTACAAACCCCAAAGTTACCACCCAGAAAGGAGGTGGCATACTGTGTATCTGCATGCTCTAACCTAGCCACCTCATCATCTTTGTACTCCGGGGCTGCGGAGAATTCTGCTCTCTGGACAGGATAAAATTAAAGGATCCCAATCGCTCCCAAAACAGAGAGAGGTCCATCCCCAGAAGAAGCTAGCTGTCACATCTCAATGTGAGTCACTGGTCTGGACTTGCAAACTCTCACCCCAGCTACACAAAACAAGGTGAACTTCTCAGAGGTTGTGGGGGGAGTTCCCTAAGCATTCACACACCAAAAGCAAAGCTTTAAAGGTACAAGATTAAAGAAGTCCCCAATATTGACAATATTGACTGTGTAACAGCGTTCCGTGAGCCTTGCCATCTAGTCATGCTGGCCACATGACCACGGAAACATCTCTGGACAGCGCTGGCTCCGCAACCCCCCTACAATCTGATATTTGTGGATAATATCGTCCTACCTTCTGTGGTTGACGTAAAGATTAAAAGGTCGTCTATTTACACACCCACCCCTATATAGCACTCTGAACCCTCCAGTGACTACAAGCAACTAGCATGGTGCAGCTGTTAGAAGTGTCAGCCCAGGTGGAATCCTAGCTCATGTGCAAACTTCACAGTTTATAAACCCGCAGACTGGCCCGCTGGCTCTCAACCAATGCTCCCTCTAAACTGTGCAGTCTTGTGAGCAAAAATTCTACTTTGTGAGCTACCGACATTCAAAGTTGTGAGCAAGTGATTTGGCTCCTGCATACATGAGTTTGTTCTGGAGCCATCCTTCCTGAGCTCAGACAAAAATGTGTGAGCCGGAGTTTAAAAAACTGTGAGCTAGCTCACACTCACTCGGCTTAGCGGGTACACTGCTCTCAACCTAACCTATCCTGCAGGGTTTTTGTGACAACGGAAACGGAAGCGGCAAGAACTTCGGGACATCGCCCCGAGGTGCCTGAAGGCAGGGCAGAATTTCAAAACAAAAAACGAAAGCGCGAGAGGCTGTCGCTAATTGCTAATTCCTTTTGGGAAATACAGCCTTACACACACACCCCGCTACACCCTGCTGGCTTTGCATGAATTTACATGCCCTTATACACTTCCTTAGGAGCTGCAGTGGCTCAAGTGGTTAAGACGCTGAACTGCAGGCTGTGGAAGGTCGGTAGTTCAGCAGTTCGAGAACCGAATGTGCCGCATGACGGAGTGAGCTCCCGTCTCTGGTTCCAGCTCCTGCCAACCTAGCAGTTCGAATGCAAGAAATTGCAAGTAGATAAATAGGTACCACTTCAGTGGGAAGGTAACAGCGTTCCGTGCGCCTTGGTGTTTAGTCATGCCGGCCACATGACCACGGAAACGTCTTCGGACAGCGCTGGCTCTTCGGCTTTGAAACGGAGATGAGCACCGCAACCCTAGAGTCGGACTCGACTGGCTTTCAAGCAAGGGAACCTTTACCTTTATACACTTCCTTCCCCCCCCCCACCTAAAAATCCTGCCACACTGGGAAGCTTCCTGCTTACCTCTTCTGCCAAAGGACAGAAGGAGATGAGGTTCCCAGCAGGCACGGCTAATCCCAAAGCATCAGCTCTTCCACCCACCTACCCCGCACACACACAATGGGCACGGCCAGGCTTCCCTGCCAAGGAACAGCACCAGGGGAGGGCCCCCGGGGAGGTTCTGGGCATCTCATCTTGCCAGGATGAGTCAGTGCCATCTGGGGAGGGAGGAGACAGAGCGGGGGAGCGAAGGGGCAGAGCCCTGCCTTTGTCTCCCAAAAAGAAAACACAGAGAGACAACACAAAAGGCTATGCACAACATACCAGAAGGGTAGAGGCAGAACCACAAATGGGCAGCTCAACGGAGAATCCCCCGGCGGGGAAAAGAATGCTCCTGAAATCAGAACGATGGTTGGATATATCCAGGACTATTCTTGGGCAGGAACGGAGTTCTGGCTGGCTCCTGAGTTGGCCACGCCCAGCAGGAACTCATTAGCATAATAGGCCACACCCAACAGCAGACATTCATTAGGATTGGCTACATTAGGGGTGTGTGGCCTAAGATGCAAAGGAGTTCCTGCTACCAAAAAAGGCCCCGGGTTTTGACCACAAACAAGGTCAACAGAAGAAGAAGCAAAAGGTGGGTGTGGCTGGATGACCACACTTCTGGTAACATGGGAATGCGGCTTAATATGCTAATGGGTTTCTGCTTCTGGGTGTGGCCTATTATGCTAATGAGTTCCTGCTGGACTTTTTCTACAAAAAAAGCCGTGGATATATCTATATATTTTAAAATAAGGGCTTAATTAAATCCTAATGTGACTGGGAGATGGATTCGAACCCAGGGCGCCAGTGGGTAGCCGTCGTCGGCCTGCAGCAACAGAAGAAAGTTGGGAGTCCAGCGGCACCTTTGAGACCAACCAGGTTTGATTCCGGGTAGAAGCTTTCCTGTCTGAAGAAGGGTGCTTTGCACACGAACGTTTATACTCAAAATTGAACTTTGTTGGTAGAGAAGCACGGAGTCGGAAGGGGCCATCCGGGCCATCTAGTCCAACCCCCTGCGCAATGCAGGATCAGCCTACAGCAGGGGTGTCAAACATGCGGCCCGGGGGCCAGATCATAGCTCATGGTTTTTTAGCCTCCGGCTCACAGATTTTTGTCTTGGTTCAGGAAGGACGGCTCCGGAGCAAACTTAAGGTATGCAGTAGCCAACTCACTCACTCACAACTTTAATGCCAGTAGTTCACAAATTAGAATTGTTGCTCACAAGACTCCACAGCTTAGAGGGAGCACTGACTACCACCCCCTTTGCCACTACCAACGGTTTCCACCCAGGGCGAAGCACGCCTCCTTCCCCAAGTTGAGGGTTCCAATCGCCATGTGAAGTCCAATTTCAGACATTTAACTCTTGGTCAGACATCCCAGGACTGGACCACTTTTGCCCAGCTTCAGAGGTTGTTACAGGAATCCCAACATATATATCTGTTTGGTTGTTAAAAATAATAAAAAAACTCTGTGTGTGTGTGACACACACACACACACAAGAAGTGTTTGGGACAATCATAGCGGTCCTAAGGGTGTCACTGGACTCAAAACAAGTGCGGGAGCATGTCTGATCACAGTGCCGAACAGCCCAGCCTCCCAACGCCTCGACCTCTATCCAAACTGCCACCAGTGTTCCCTCTAAGCTGAATTAGCGTGAGCTAGCTCATGGTTTTTTAGCCTCCGGCTCACAGATTTTTGTCTTGGTTCAGGAAGGACGGCTCCGGAGCAAACTTAAGGTATGCAGTAGCCAACTCACTCACTCACAACTTTAATGCCAGTAGTTCACAAATTAGAATTGTTGCTCACAAGACTCCACAGCTTAGAGGGAGCACTGACTACCACCCCCTTTGCCACTACCAACGGTTTCCACCCAGGGCGAAGCACGCCTCCTTCCCCAAGTTGAGGGTTCCAATCGCCATGTGAAGTCCAATTTCAGACATTTAACTCTTGGTCAGACATCCCAGGACTGGACCACTTTTGCCCAGCTTCAGAGGTTGTTACAGGAATCCCAACATATATATCTGTTTGGTTGTTAAAAATAATAAAAAAACTCTGTGTGTGTGTGACACACACACACACACAGTTTTTTTTATTATTTTTAACAACCAAACAGACAAAACAAACATAAATGAGCGTAAAAATAACCACATCATGTCTCTTAAACCACCTCATACATCTATATACTAATAGCCAAGGCGCCCCCTGTGTGCGGATATCTGAATCCGCACATCAGGGGCCCTTGGGGAGCAAAGAGATTTTCCTGCACACTTCGGGCAATCAGCAGGTGTGCAGAAAAATCTGAAAAGTTGAAAAAAAAAATATGGGGGATACTTAAATCGCCCCAAAAGTAAAAGAGCATTCCCTGTGCATGCGCAGAGAATGCACTGGGAACTGCCTCACCACCGTTGTGGGGGGGAGGCTTGGCAGGCCCAGTGGCTGGGAGCCGCTCAGGCCTTGCCACCAGTGTTAGAGGGGGGGCGGGAGAAGGCTTGGCAGGGCCAGTGGCTGGGAGCCGCCCAGGCCTTGCTGCTGGTGCTGGGGGTAGAGTGGGAGAAGGCTCGGCGGGCCCAGGCCTCGCCATCGGTGCTGGGAGGGCAGGACAGGGCTTACCTGCGACTGCTTCCTCCTCTTTCATGTGGAGCTCCTCCCCCCCCCCCACC